GCCGCTCCCGGCCACCGCAGCCTCGACCTGCTGGGCTCCGGCGATCCTTCCGCCTCAGCCTTCTGAGTAGTTGGAAATACAGGCATGCGCTATCACACCCGGCTGATTTTTTGATTTATTGTAGAGATGAAGTCTCGCTGCCTAGGCAGGTCTCGAACCCGCGGGCTCAGGCAATCCTCTCACCTCAGCCTCCCAAAGGCGCGGGATTACAGGCTGAGCCACCGAGCTGGGCTGGAGTGCTTTTTTAACAGACGGGGTGCAGAGGATGCCTCATCTCAGACAGATCTCGAGACTGGTCCCACGAGGATTAACGTCCTCTAGGCCTGGTGGTAGCAACCACTTCGTAGGGGCCACCCGGGGTTATGAGGGACCGTGAGCACAGTAGGGCTTGTCTCTAACTCCTGGCCATGCCCGAGTCGCACACCACTGAGTGTCCACTGCACATTCTCGCCTGCCACCAGGGCGGGTTCATGCCTATAGTCCTTTCTGCTGCCGCATGGTCTCTGTGAGGAGGGTGTTGTGGTGCCACTTTGCAGAGGAGGAAGTGGAGGTCCAGGAAGCCGAGAGCTTGTCCAGGATCCCATGGTCTGCTAGGGGACGCGGAAGGAAATTTGGGTCCTGCACTGCCCGTGTCCCCTGGTGCTACCTGAGGTTCTAGTCAGTACTGAACAAGGGCACGGTGTCCCTGAGCCTGCGTCCCTGGCGCCCTGGCGACAGGAACAGAGAGGAGCCCCTAGAGGGGACAGTGACGCGTGGCCTGAGGGCCAAGGTCGGGGGCAGCACATCTTTCTGGGCGCCATGGCTGTCTTAAGTGCTGAGATGGGACAAGAAGATGCCCTGCCTCACTGTTAGGGAATGGATAGGGTGAGGGTGGGACGATGGATGGAGAGAGAGGCGCAGCACCACCAGAGCCGGTAAGCCAGAGATCCGAGTAAATGCAAAGAATTGCAACACACCAAGAAGAGAGAGAAAAGATTTATTTAAGAAAAGTTCACCCCCACAGACAGGGAGTGGGCCTACACTCTGGGTGAGTGTGGCAGCGTAGCTCCCCAAAGCTCTGGCTTAAATCCTTTTCCTTGGAGAGGTGGCAATCAGGTAGACGTGACTGCCGTGACTTTGTCGACCACCTGAGGATGTCTTGGAGAACCTGTGACACAGGGACCCACTAATGTCTGCCCACAGTATCACAACCCCTCGAAAGGGTGAGACAAGCATTCTAATGCTCCTGCACCTTCCCTAATGACATTCCTGAGAGCTAGTGGAGGGTGCACTCCCCTTATCTCGTAGGCACTCCCAGTGGGTCACTTGCGGGGG